TAAAAATAATTTATCCATAGAACTAAAAGACTTCACAGACCTCAACTTCCATGAACCTAAGACAGAAGAATTTCATGGTACCTGTCTATCACTATTTACTGCTCCAATTGGATCACAATAGAGTATCCTGGAGAGAGAGTGGAAGCTAAATGTTGAGCAAAATGAAAACTAACAGTAATGGCCCCTGAGACTTTGATTCCTTTTTTCCTTCTCTTATTTTTCTAGTATTTATTGTAGTAAAGCTGACTCTAGTAAAATTATAGATGTGGTTTTGGTCCCTGTCGTATTTCTCATTTGGTTTTAAAACATTTTACACTGTTTGTAAATTGTTATTTTTCAGATTGTACATCATTAGGTCCTTGGGTACTTCCCCCCTGAATCTTGAGGCATTAGTTCAAATGCTTAAAAAATATAAACAGCATAGAATGTATGCACCAAGAAGTACATGTTGAACATATTTAATCACAAAGTAATTGAAAAAGTCCTGATCATTACTTCTTGACTAAAGTTCATTAATCTGAAATAATTCAAGAACTTCCAAGATTTCTCTGTTATCCACAACAAAATATGAATAATAATAACAAAGTATGAATAATCTCCTCTTTTTGCTTCCCATTGCTGACAGCCTTTATGTAACAGTCATGGTTCTTGATATTGAAGTGAGTTTCAGTTCTATCATCTACACAAACTAATCTACTGTCTCCATTTTCTTTCCATTGCAATAGACATCCATAGTGTCTTTTCCCAGTATAACTCTAAAATCTAAAGTCTGGGACTTGGCCTTGCCAGGCTCTCTCCTACTTAGCCACTGCCTGGACTCCATCCCGCAAGGCCGTGCTGCCTTCATGGTCCAGTTGGAACCAGCCTAGTCTCCATGGTGGCTGCTTCTGGCACTTAGCCCTCCTGATAACCTAGGAAAAAAAGATAGATCTTGTAGCTGTTTGGGAGGTTGCTTTAAGTGATGGAGTCCACAAGATTGAATTTGAACACGGGACTACATCATGTAAATATGTAGTATATATAGATGGGAAGGAAGAGATAAGGAAAAAGTATATGTTCAAAAAAACATTGTATGTTGGAGCTGCCAAGACAAAGGTGACTATAAATGTAGATGTGGTCAGTGGATTTCCTGGAAATTAATGGGGAAAGCCTCAAAAAGTTTGTGGAGAGCAGATAAAAAACCACTAATACTTGAATATTACACTTGGGTGATGAGGATTTTAGAGTTGTATTTGGAGGCTACGATTCTTAACCACTTTTTGGTCCTGGAATTCAACTCATTCATAGTACAACATGCAACCAAACAATAGATCTATAATGTGAACAATAACTTCAGGAGATATTTATTCCTTATAGTTATCAAAATCATGCAAAATTACAAGGACAACATTTTCTCAGAGATAAAGCACAAAAAGTAGGAAAAGAGAGGCTTGAAAGATGAATGGATAAAAGAATACCAGAGAGATAGTTGAGAAGAGTGATAATATTTTGCAGGAATTGCAATCAGTGTCATAAAATAAATTATTTATGAATGTTTGAATAGAATATCTTTTTTCTCTGTAAATTTCTATCAAATCACAATGTTATTGTTGTGTACCATTGAATCAAAAAATAGCCGACCCTCTGATGGATTTTAGAGGCAGGTTTTCAGAGGTTTTACTTGCATGGGAAGATTGCCCATCCTTCTCCTGTGGAGAAGTTGGTGGATTTGAACTGTGTGCCCTCAGGATTGCGGTACAGATTCTTAACTTCTAGGCCGATAAAAAGTTAAAAATAAAAAAGAAAAATACCTATGCACCAAATGAAAGACCTGCAAACTACATAAAACAAACATTAACAAAACTGAAAAAGGAAATGGACAACACTACTATAATACTTGGAGACTTCAATACACCCCTCTCAAGAAAAGGTAGAACTACCAGAAAGAAACTCAACAAAGATACTGAAGAATTAAACCATACA